GAAGCCTCGGAAACCTGCTGTCAGGCCCTTCCCCGGGAAGTCCCCCAACTTCGGCCTGTGCTCTGAGCTCCATGGCCCTGGAAGGGGTCCCGGCCTGTCCCGCCAGCACCTACTTACCTTCTTCCCATGGCGCCCCGCCCACCTGAGCACCCCCTCCTCCAAGCACGTGGTCACTGTCCCTGCAGATGCTCCCCACCCAGAGCCCCACGTCTCCATCTCAGCTCTGCCTTTGACGGGTCTGCGCATCCACCTCTCAAGACCAGGTCCCCCGGCTGCCTCGCTCTCTGCTGTGTCCCCAGTGTGCCCTCACCGTGGCCATGACTGAGTGACAGCTGGACTCTCAAATTCCCTTGAAGGGTTTGTCTCCACGAGGCCAGTGCTTCCAGAGCCCACTGGGAAGCGTGGTGAGGCGAGTGGCAGGGCAGGTGTCTCCCACGCCCACACTGTGCAGGGGCTGCTGAGGCCGGGAGCACACATCAAGCTGGCGTGTCCCCGTGAGGCAGCTCTGGCCAACAGACTCGATGGAGGGAAGAACACACACAGCCAGGAAGTGCCATGCGAAGTCTGTGGGGTGAGCGCGGCCATGGGGTCCCACCCTGGGGGAGCGTGGAATGGCCTGAGGCCCCCCAGAGACCCCCCCCCAACCCAGAACAGGGCAGGTCGATGGGGATGGTGTGAAGGTGGTGGCCGCCAAGCAGAGGCCTGAAACCTGACAAGAGGCTGAGTGCTGACGCTCCCGAGGACAGCCAGGCCCAGGGCAGAGCATGCGCAAAGGCCCTGGGGCAGCCAGGAATGTCCCAGGCTTGGCCTGGAGCGAGGGAGCCCAGGCTGGGGGAGGTGGGGGGGAGTGTTGTGGGTGACAGGCCTGAATGTGGGCACCTTGGGGAATGTATCCCAAACACCACAGGAGCTTCTGGAACGATCAGGTTTTTGTCTTAGAAAGTCCTCTCCAGCCGCTGTGTGCAGGGACCACCTGGTGACACGTGAGGGGTGCCAGGGAGGCAGCCGGACTGAGAGAAGGGAGCTGCAAGCCACTGAAAGGCCTGGCCCCTGCTGACCAGAGATCCATGGCCACAGTTCAGCAAAGAGCCACCAGGTGGCGCACAGACCCCAGGGATGGGTGGACAGTGGGCAGGGCTGCCGGGATGAAGCCCCCTTGCCCTTGGGAGCAAGGCCCAGCCCTGTGCCTTGAAATCCAGGGTCTGCCCTCCTGCCTGGGCAGGGCTGCATCCTGGGGAGCAACACTACCTGCTCTGCTCTATGATCCTGTCCCCCGCCTGGTTTAGATGCCACACAGGGACCTTGGGGCGCTGCTGGTGATTCTAGGGCTGAGTCGGGCACGTGCAGCCCAGGGCATGTTTGAAGGTCTCTGCAGGTTGGGCCTGGGTGCAGGCCTCTCTGGGTTTCACCCTCCCAGCCGCGCAGGAGATGACCACCAGGAAGTGGGGACCTGAACTCAGGAGCTTTGGTGCTACAGGCCCTGGCTGGGCAGGGGCACCAGGGTGGGCTCACGTCAGCACCGGGGTGCCATTTAAAACCAAGCAAGTCCCAGGCCGCTCAGGGGGTAAGGGGCTAAGCACCCAGATCCAAGCCTGTAGTACACGAGGGACAGGACAGGCAGAGTCTCATGTCTCATGCATGGCACAGGCATGAACGCATGTATATACACACATGTACGCACACACAGCAACACATATCTATACATGACTACACACAACACAGCCACACATAAACATATAATACATACTCACAGGTGCACAGTGTAATGGGCCTATATTTGGCCACATTCACACATGTGTACGCACGTGCTCAGATACACACGTGCACACATGGATGCGCATTGAAACAGAGCCAAACATGCATTAAAGCCCCCACATGCGCACGTGTATGCACACTTACCTACATACTCAGATACGGACGCACACTGCAACACACAGCCGCACCCACAGGTAAACACGTGCATGTCCACACAGCCACACGTCCACACGTGCATATGTCTGCAGAGGTGCACGGTGCCTCACACAGAGACCCTCCAGGGCAATGGTTGGCAGCCCGGCTCTCACAGCCTGGGAACCACTGGCATCCTGGGCCCCAGGCCCTCCAGGGAAAAGTACCAGGTCAGGGACCCCCCATAAACCCAGCCCCCATGGCAGAACCAGCAAAGGACATGCCATGGCCACTCCTGCAGGTGAGCTAAACTTGTCAGCTGGCCGGGGCAGGACGCTGACCTCCAGCGACTCGGTGGGATGCTAACCTGAGAGCCAGGTCTGTGGTGGGTGAAGAGGACAGATGCCATGCGGACACCATAAAAGGTGAGGCCCATGCTGCCAAGGCCACTGGACGTTGCCCTGAGGGTGAAAGATGGCCTCACTGCAACAAAGATAGCACCGCAAGACGATACACTGACCCCACGTCACGGGGGCAGTGCGAAAGTCTGAACGAAGTATGAGGGGACAATGTGATGGGACATGAAACTCACATGCCAGGACCAAGGGGGTTTGTTCCAGGATGGCAAGGCGGGCCGCTCACCAGCAGGAGCAGGAAAGACCCCTGACCAGAATCCACATGGTCACTGTAAAGCCACACCAGACATCAGCCCTGAAGGACCCTTCCTAAGCACGGGAGACGCATCTCCCCTGCCCAGGGGCTGGCTGGCCGCAGACACCACCCCCAGCTCTGGACAGAGCCAAGCAGCAATCTGCCCTCCTGGCAGGCATCCCTTATCTGAAAACCCAAAAGAATGCAAAGGACAGAGGGGAAAGCTTCTGTGACCACAGCCATGAGAAGTGGGGCCACAGCCTGTGGCAGAAATCAATGGCTTTCACAGACGCCAGAAAGTGCTTGGAAGACAGACAGACCAGAGACTCCCCATGTGATTGCAACAATAACAACTTACTATCACCAACATTATTATTATCAGGAAGAGACTTAACAAAAACTGACGGTCACCTCCATAATGAAACCATAAAACACTACCCATGTATAGGCATGCCCCGCTCTTGGGGTCCAAGGAGATGTCGGTCCCCCAGATTCATCCATCCACCCCCATCACGTTTCCTCCCAGGGCTGGACGAGGTGATGGCAAAGTTCACTGGGAAAAGTAAGGCTGCAAGCGCCACCAGGAAACCCCTGAAAAAGCCAGCCCTGCAGAGGTGCAAAACAACACCGTGAGACCGACTTTAGTACGGGAGAGCCAAGCTGCGAGGGCCCTGGTGAGGGGAAAGTCCAGCGGACCAGTGGGACAGAATTGAAAACCCCAAAGCAGACCCTTCCTACTGCCCCTGAACCTCTGGGTTACAGAGAAGACGGGCCCTCCAGCCAGGCAGGACCGATGGACTGTGGAAGGCATGGCACAGGAAGAACTGGGAAGCCAGGGAAGGACAACCGGCCTGGGCCTCACACCCCATACCAGGAAGCTCCCAGGCACTGTGGAGCGCACACAGTTAACCTGGTCAGGGAAGGTGAATTTCTCCGCACTCAGCTACGGCCCAAGCTCCAGAAGCAACGAAGGAAAGGTAAAGTTGACTCCCTAGAAATAAGGCAGATGCCACCGCTGAAGCCATCACGAGAGGACTCGGGAGCCCCATGGGGCAGGCTCCCCTGGCCAGGAAGACATAGCACTGAAAAGCAGCACGAAGCCAGCCCAGATCCACCTGTATGAGCTGGGAGCTGAGTCCGTGACTCTCTTCCTTTGCAGACACTGGGAAGATTCCACGACAAGACCGGAAAACAGCAAAGCTGGACCAAGGAGAGCTGCTGGACCGGGTCCTGCCGGATCCCGTGCGCTGCCCACGGCCCACACTCAGGCGGCTTCCATGGGGACCCCGTGGGCCCCAGACATAGCTGGTCCCCTGCACCCCGCCTTCCGGGTAGCCTCACAGCCAGATCAACTTTGAGGTTTCTCCCCAGGCCGTGAGCCAGCCTCGTCCTGCTCCCAGTGCCCGGCCAGCAGAAACGGCACAGCGTGGGGCAACCCCACCTACAGCCAGTCGCTCCAGGCCTCCTTGCCACAGCTGGGCCTGTTCAAGTTGAGGGGTATCTGGGGACCTGTCCCCAGCCCTGTCTTGGAGAGGAGAGGAGTCCTGACCGCCGTGTCGTGGGCCGAGGCCGTGGAACTGACAGCTGTGTGGTGCACCCCACCCTCAGAGAAAGGAGCTGACAACTGCCCAGGTCCAGGGCATGGGGGTTGGAAATTCCCCGGATCCTCAAGCTACCCTGGGCACCTCCAGGGACACTGGTTTCATGCTTCTTTTCAGTGCTGTCTTCCTGGCCAGGGGAGCCTGTCCCGCCGGGCCCCTGAGTCCTCTCACAATGGCTTCAGCAGTGGTGTTCACTACCTTTCCTTCATTGCTTCTGAGCACACAGGCATGACGCGGCTAGTGGTGGCAGCCCTCACCCGCAGGGAGGAAGACACAGGGCACTCAGAACCCAGCAAAGGCCTGAGGAAGGACCGTGTGCCGAGGCAGGCACTGCCCCCAGCTCGGGAACATTCCTGCCCCCAGTCCAGGACACTCCCGCCAGTGACACTACACAGAGTGCCTCTCAGGCTGACGGAAGGGACCACCCAGGTGCCTGGGGTGGGGGCTGCTTCTGGGACACCTTCAGGGCCCGTGTGCCAGCCATAACCCAGGAGCAGGAGTCACCAGACCCCAGGGACACTGTGGATGAAGGCTCGGGCAGGCCTCTGCTACCCACACCTCCAACTCCACCCTATATCCTCCTTCCTTTCAGCCAAGCTCGGAAGCCCCTCTCTAGGAAGCCCTTTCAGACCGCCAGCTCCAGGCTCCTCTCAGTCCTTGCCCCCTCGCCTGTGGCAAACACATCCCAAGTCACTTGGCAAGTGTGGGTGCTGGGGAGGTGTCCCCACCGTGTATCAGGGCAGGGCCAACATATGAGCAAGGGGCCGGGAGCAGCTCTGCCCCACCTGATGGGATCAGTGCCAGGCAGATGCCAGCCACCAGGCAGCATGACATCCAGCCGTGCCCTCGGATACTACATACCATCCAGAAGAGGGTGCCTGTAGCCAGGGCGGCATACTGCTCAATGGTGGACAGCACGCTGAAGATGAGGCAGACCAGGACAATGAGGAAGCTGCAAGACAGGGACATGGCTGTCAGTTCCACGCCTCAGCCCACCCCACGGCGGTCAGTTCCACGCCTCGGCCCACCCCACGGCGGTCAGTTCCACGCCTCGGCCCACCCCACGGTGGTCAGTTCCACGCCTTGGCCCACCCCACGGCGGTCAGTTCCACGCCTCAGCCCACCCTACTGATGCACCTGGGGAGCAGCGGAAGGGCCCCGGCCTCAGCCCCGCCCCGGGGTAGGAACAGACAGTGCTGCGAAAATGCAATTGTCCTTTAGCTGAGCACACACTCAAGGTAGGTCCGCACAAGGGATGCTGGCCCGTCGTGGGAAGGCACGAGGCACCAACATATGCTGCCACATGGACGGGCCCTGGAAACATGGTGCCAAGGCCAGACACAGACAGGTGACTGCCTGCTGACCACCTGCCACGTGGCTACACCCAGGACAGCCAGAGCCACAGAAACAGAAAGCAGTCTGGTGGCTGCCCCAGGGCAGGATAAACGCTCTAGATGCGGATGGCGGTGATGGCCACACAACGCTGAGTGTCCTAGAGCCACGAGAGGCCCACTTTCTGTAAGTGAACCATGGCGTGGAATTGCATCTCGGCACAGCTGATTTTACAGCTCACTTCCAGAGCGTAGTCAGAGGCCTCCTGCCCAGGAGTGGAAGGCCCAGGGCGGGGGTGCTGATGGTCACAGCACAGAAGCCAGCCCACCGGGGAGGGTCCTGACATCTGCACCAGGAGTCTGGTTGGCAGAGGGGCCTTGAGGCTGCAGGCTGTGGGCCGCTCTCATGTGGTTTTACTTCCTCCTCCCCAGGGCCACAGAACCCATGAAAGGGAAGGTGCAGAGCCCCACCCTGGGGCCAACGCTCTGTGGGCACGCGGAGAACAGACGGGCCGCCTGCTTTGATCCCCGGAACCGTAAAGATAAGGAGCTGCTGCCTCTGCAAACGCACCCTCCAGGGCCCGCCCCACCTACCTCCCGCCTCAGGGGAGACTCCAAGGACCCCCATGGGTCCCCAGCGACAGAACAGCCAGGAAGCGGCCACATGGCTCCAAGGTCCCCGGGAGACACAAACAGAAAGCCACACAGACCCTGGGGGTGCCAGCATAGGTTGCCCAGGCTCCTCCCCTCCCTGAGGTCCTGCCATCCCAAGTGGCTTCTAACCCACCCAGGGCAGCCAGGGGGCCTCCTGCATTGCCCCCGCACTCGGCCGCACCCAGAACCCATCCTCTCCCACCTGTCCAGATGCACACAGTCCGGCCCACCCTCTCCAGGTCCCCAGAGCCCACAGTAAGCAGGCTACCCTCCTGCACAGCCTGCCCTAGCTCATCCTCTCATGCACAGAGGCTTCTAAGGGAGCTGGGGCTCTGGGGCCAGCTCCACAAGCTCCCGTGGGCAGGGCAATCCTTTCCAGACCTCTGGCAGCCCTACCCAAAGGCACTTGAGGACTCACTCAGCCAACGACACTGCTCAGGCCCCCTTCCTGGGTTCCTCCCTCCCCAGAGCCACAGTCCCGCTGCAGCCACCACTTCCTCAGCGACACCCCATCCTGCCCACACTGGCCAGCTCTACCCGCAGAGCCAACCCCAGCCAGCCCCTGTCTGCACCCTGCCCATCTATCCTCATCTCCCCCTGACCATGGTGCCCACCTCCGCCCTTGGCGCCCCCAGCCCACATACCCTGCCAGTCAGTGAACCCTCAATGTCACCCCCCAGCATGGTATCACAATGGCTCCAGACCACCCCAGCTCCTCCCGGCCCTTGTTGCCAGTCCTGACCGTGCCTGGCCCAGCCCATCTCAGGCCCCCTGTACCTGCTGCTGCCCAGCCTAGAAGACCAGCTTGAGGGTCCTGCAGGCGGCCCTGTCTCATGGGCAGAGCCCAGCTCCGACGTCCAACCCTGGCCCCCACAGCACCCCACAGCACCCCACTGTGACCTTTATACTCAAGTATCGCCGCTGGGACCAGAGACTGTTGTCCACCCCCCAGACCATGAGCACCCCAAGAGTGGGGCTGTGGGCTGCAGTCCACGCCCAGGACAGGGCCTGGCACACAGGAGATGATCAGTCCCATGTGAGCTCCTCCATTTAATCTCTAAGCCCCAAAGCTGCCACTGCGTCCCTGCCACCATGACCCTTCCTTTGCTTCCTGAGGTTACTCCCCCACTGGGACATTCAACCCAAACACAAGTCTGATCAGCCCTGTGGTTCCCAGGAGCACCTGGAAGCTGGCATGCAGCCCTGCCCTTCCTTGGGCCTCGGTCTCCCGACCCTGCCTGCCCGGAGCTCTGGCTGCATCAACTGCCTGGCATTTGCATGTGAAGTGCTTCCGGCCAGGGACCCTCTCTGCACCCCGCCCTCCACACTGCCTTGGCTCTGAGGATGCTGCCTGCCCAGCTTGGGCAGGATGTCCAGGCCCTGCCAGGCTCCCCCGGGTGCTCCCACACTGACACCATGCCCTCATCTGTCTCTGGGGATAATCCACACAGTGCTGGCCCGGGGTGGGTGCAGAGTACTTTGTTCGACAGACACGGCTGGAGCCTCCGGGACGGCCGTGCAGGGCCCTCCATAGGGTGAATCTGTGGATCTCACGGGGACATGAGCAAAGGGCAGCCGGGAGGGGGAGTGTCCCTCTGCACTGGGCACCATTCCGGGCACTGCAAATGGGCTCAGCCCGGCCCACCTTGCCCCGAGCATGCTGCCTACTGCTGGAGCAGGGCTCCCTCCAGGCTCTCAGAAGAGCCTTTGCGCCAACCCACATGCCCTGGTCCCAAACCCTGCACTCCCAAGGCTGGGCTGGGTCTCTGCCGCTTGCTGGTAAAACGGCCGGCTCTCCCCACCTCACCAGGGCTCCCTCCGCCAGGACTGCCACACCTAATCCTCCTGGGCGTCTGTTTGTTTTGATTTGCAGTGAGCGGGGAAGTAAGATTAGACACAGCCTGGCTCAGCCACAAGGAAGCAGAGCAAGGGTTCCCCTAGAAGGAGATGTCGCCTGCCTGTTCCCTGGGCCCACGGGGTGCAGAGGCCCAGGGCAGCATCTGCACATGGGGAGGCAGTGCCCACTGGTTGCCCCTCCATGGCCATGTGACCCAGGCACCTCCCCTGCCTCAGTTTCCTCACCAACACAAAGAAGCAACCCACAGAGCTTCTTCCCAGGCTGTGGAGGGACGTGTCGGCAGCAGGGAGTCAGGAGTGAGCATCGACTTCACCCTGAGGCCCTGGATAAGCCCGGCAGCTCCCAGTGCTATCTCCTGTAAAGATGTGGCAAAACCCACCACCCACCAGCGGCTGTGGGAGGATCCACTAAGTTGCTCTCTGTCCAGCAACAGAAAGTGCTCCCGGGGGCTGCAGGCCACTGCCTGGTACCTACACCCCCGCTCACGGACCACCAGCCCAGCCAGTGCTGTGCAGACGGTAACACAGATCCCCATGAGACTCTGCCAGAGTGTGACATCACCACCGCTCTGCCATCAAACACATGCTACAGGTAGGGAAGCAGAGGCTCCAAGGGCTTCTGAGGTCACAACTGTGGTAAACTGAGGAGGAGACACAGGACTGCAGCTGGGTTCCCTGACCAGCATGGCCGGTGTCCTGGAGGCTGGGCCCTGGGACCCTTTGGCCCTTGGCGTGAGACACCTTGCTGGGCTCCCGTCTCAGTGCATGTGAGCAGGGATGGTGCTGCAGCGAGGGCGGCACAGCAGCGTCCCCGTCACCCAGCGTGGCCTCCGTCCTCCTGTCTCCTCTGCAACTCGGATCCTCCTGCTTCTCTAGAAGAACCCTCGAGGTCACAGTTAGGGCCTGCCCAGGTATGAGCCATCCCTCAGTCACCCTGCAAAGCCCCTTTGGCCAAACAACCTAACTTGTTCACAGGACAAGGACACAGACACCTCAGGGTCACCCTTCAGCCACACGACAGCCACATTTGCCAGCCACGCCCCTGCCTCACAGCCGCTTTTCTAGAAGACCACAGGCAACACTGCCTTCTGCATCTCCCGTCACGGCCTTTCCCTTCCTATGCTGTGTGGGTGACAGCCGGCCACGGACTGCAAATACCAAGCGCCTGGGCTTTGTGGCAGATTCCAGCTGCAGGAGCTCTCTTGCCCACGTGCTGTGCTCCGGGACACATGGGCTCAGGTGTGTGGAGTCACTGCAGCGGGAAGATTCCTGACTGGGCCTTTCGGGGAAGATAGAGGCCGGTTAGGGAAGGCCACACGTGCCCTGGGCCAGCCCCGCAGAATGCACCCACGCGGACGTCCACCCCAGCCCTCTGGGCAGAGATGCCTAGGGAAAGCCCCATGTGGTGGAATCACAGCTGAGGCAGAAGACAGCGCTCCAGGCCCAGAGAACGGTCCCCTGCAGGCCGGGCAGATGGTGGAGGCGGGTGCCCCTGGGCCAGGCTGGCTGTCAGCCTTGCCATATCCTGATGGCTAAATGATTCTTCCGATATTTCCATACGAAGTGCTAGCCTCAGAAGGAATTATATGATAAAGCTTACTTTTATCTACTCCAGATAAAAAGTTTTACCTTATTTATCACTTTATCTATTCTTGTCTTGGGCAGAGCTGGGAGCCTCACAGGTGGTGGGCTAGATGTCCGACATGCAGACAGCGCTGTCCCTGCCCTGGAGTGACTCAGGGCCTGGGGTGCCTGTGCCCTCTCCCACCTCTGCAGGGCCACCCGCCACTCCCTCTGCCTCAGCTCCAAGCCCAGGCAGTCATAGCCCCCGACTCCACAGAGCCGGGAAACTGAGGCCCTGGGAAAGGAGAATCCTATGTGTGTTCTGAACTCAGAGTGGGAGGCAGGGCAGGCTGGGGAAGGGGTGGGGGAGAGAAGACCATGCGGTCCCCTGAATACCATCCCAGCTGAGCACCCAGGAAGGTGTGGTCATGGGGGGTTTGCCACATGAGTGGGGAGCCCGCCACACCCCAGGAGACAGCCCCCTACTTGTTCTCCTTTATGGCAGACTGGCCGCAGGGGCAGCAACAACACTTCAGCGTCTCAGCGC